GGGGGGGAGGAGAGGCGGGGGGGCTGTCAATTTGACACCTCAGCTGCTGGGAGAATAAAAATATGTTCAGTGTTAGGGCAGGTTTCTGAAATTTAAATGAATGTTGCACCTGTTAGAGCATATCAAATAAAAACAAAAACAAAACTATTTTTAAAACTATGTGCAGGTAAGTACTTTCACATACATTTTCTCATTTAATTCTTTTAACAATCTTGTGCGGAAGAGATTAGTGTTTCCATCTTATGAGGGTAAAATAGTCTCAGAGAGGTTAGGTTACATGCCTAGAAACAAACCCAAGATGTGGCCAAACTGGAATTTGAATTGAAGTCTTATAATCTGAGCCCAAACTACAAAGACTTTTAGTCCCAATTCCATTCCCTCTTCAAACTGTTTACTAATATTAGAAATAAAAGACTTATATACCTCACACATCATACTCTAAAGGAATAGTGGCACCTCATAAATATGTACTCAAAGGGTCAAAACAAAGTAGACAAGAAAGTGATGGCAACGGGAAAAGAAGAAGCTGTGAATAGATTTAGTATATAAATGTAAGCCATAAGGTCTCATATGGTGGCTAGAAATGGACTTCAAATTTGACTTAAGAGCCTCCTAGTGGCCAAAGCAAAGAGGGAAACATGAGAGTTGTGATATTCCTTGGGTCCATGTACATTTTACAAATGAGCCAGTTGCTCAAATGAATAAAGATTTTCCTGAAAGTAAGACCTAAAAGAGACTTTTCCCATGAGACAATGTAGGAAAGACTATGACATGGAGGCTGTTGCTCTCAACATCAATGACAACATCAAGCTTTCCAGACTGTTTCTAATATGCCATTCATCCACGTCAGGATGCCACATTGCAGAACCTCAGGGTATGCCATTCACACCATGTTCCATATGAAAGGTGACCCTGTAACTGTGCAATGTGGTGACCTTGAGTCACTTATTCACTCACAGGATGCCACATTGCAGAACCTCAGGGTATGCCATTCACACCATGTTCCATATGAAAGGTGCCCCTGTAACTGTGCAATGTGGTGACCTTGAGTCACTTATTCACTCAACAAATATTTATTATTTCCTACATGCCCAGGACTATGTTAGATGTTGAGGATACAATGAGTGAGACCAGACACAGGCTTTGCCCTCATTCAGTTGACATTCTAGTGAGAAAAATACCAATACCTGTGACACCACTACTGTGATGAGCTTGTAACAGAGCTTGCCAAGGAGGTCAAGAAAGCCTTCCCGGAGGGAAATAGGCTTGGACTGATATCTGAAGGACGAGATAAAGTAGTTAATTAGGCAAAAAGGGAAGGATCAGTGTGGTATGTATGGGCAGTAACATGCAAAGGCCCTGCAGTAAGGAGGAGTTCAGAGAATAGAAAGAACTGTGGCTTCAGTGGAAAGAATGAGGGGGACTATGGCTTAAAATGAGGCTGGAGAGAAAGGCAAGGTCCCTCATCTTGAGAGAAACAGCAGCTAATGATTGTTTTTAAGCATGTAGGTGACATATTAAGAGCATATTTCATATTAAGAGCATAAGATATAGGACTACATAATAGTCTGACATTATTTAAGAATAAAACTTAGGATGAAATTTAAGGATAAAATAGAAAATTAGATTTAGGTGGCCCATGAATCATTCACAAATTTGCAATATGAATGAGCGATGATCATTTTTCTGGGCACAGGATCCATAGCTTTCCTCAGATTCCTAAGGGTGCTTATGAACCTACAAATATTAAGAATCACTGATTTGGGATGGACTGCATACACTTTAGAAATGATCCATAAACATTATGTCTTGTTGCCAAGCTTCTGATAAGGGTATTTTTTAATAGCTTATTGAGAGATATTTTGCATATAAAATTCATCCATTTAAGGTGTATAGTTCGGTTTTTAGTATAGTCACAAGGTTGCACAACCATCACTACTATTTAACTCCAGAACATTTTCATCACCCCAAAAAGAAACCACATACTCATTAGCTATCGTTCCCTATTCCCCACCAGTTCCACCCCACCCCAGCCCTAGGCAACCACTGACCTACCTTCTGTCTCTATGTACTTGCCTATTCTGGACATTTAATATAAATGGACTCATACAATACGTAGTCTTTTGTGACTGGATTCTCTCACTTCACATAATGCTCATTTTGAACAAGGTTCATCCATCCTGTAGCATGTATCAGTACTTTATTCTTTTTTATGGTCGAATAATATTTCATTGTATGGATATACCACATTTTATTTATGTGTTCATCAGTCAGTGGACATTTAGACTCTTTCCACTTTTTTTGGCTATCATGAATAATGCTGCTATGAAGATTCACATACAAGCTTTTGTGTGGAGACAGCAGAGATTTTGAGGTGAGAACCCGAACAGCAAAAATTCTCTGTTGCCAGACCTTATGCAATTAAGGTAAACTAAAAAGACACATGAGGTCACCAAGCACAGTACGTAGCACACAGTAAGCCATTACTAAATGTTAACTGAGTATAGAGAAAATTCTGTGCTGTTGCTAACAGTATGTCATATGCTTGGACAGTAATGAATGCAGGTGGGACTGCCATTCTCCTCTAAGAAGTCAGAAGCAATGGGACTGTGCATTGAGCGGGGTGGCTACTCTACCTCTGCTCAAAGGTGGGTCATAGAGAACAGTTTTCCTCTGGAAGCAGTTTGGAGTCTATCTCAACACCCAGGTATATAAAATGGTTTATTGTGACCTCCCCTTTTTTGGGACACATGTGTCCCAGCACCACAGTGGTGAGGGCCCATGTGGAGCACTGCAGGCCACTCAGCACCAGGGCAGACTCTGCATGGACTTTCAACTTGAAACAGAAATGCGAAAAAGAAACACACTTTATTAAAATACTAGAAATATTACCTACTCCCCGTCTCCTGCCCCCCACCCAACAATAAAAATCCTGCCCTCCTGGGGACTAGGGTGACATTTTCATTCTTTGAAATGGTGCAAGCTACTGTCGCTCTTCTTCTGGCACCTCAAAGGCCCTGGGCCACCTGTGCCGCAGATTATTCCTCACTTAACCTTCCCTGGCCTTTCCCTTTCATTCGGGAGGTGTTTAATTACCTTGGATTCACAAGGCTGCACTTCAGGTGAGCTTCTCCTAATGGCCTCATTACCATTTTACACAAAGAAGGAGTAGCTGATTGTAACTGAGCAAATACAAGTGCGTTCCTGCCTGCCTGCCCCAGCTGGTCTTAAACCAGCCAAGTGGTCCTGGGCTCTTGACGTCCCCTTGACCACTTAGGCCAAGACTTCTGAAGACCCCCCTCACCCTGCAACATGCAGACGCTTTTGTCTTGACCTGTCAGCACTTCAAACTTTGAGACTCCAAGTGTATGTGCATCTGATAGCTGGTGACAGCATTCTGTCCTTTAAATAAAAGTGAGGGAAGAAAATTCAAGGTTTAAATAACCCACAATTGCACATCTAAAGCTGAACTTGCCCTGAGTACTCCTGGGGGTGCTGGTCAAATTAATATTGGGGTATATCAGGGGTAATTTAGGGGTGTTGGAGGTGTTGGTGAGGATGGTCTCCTCCTTTAAAAAACTGATCAGCTTCTCTCTAAAGCTCCCTGCCCTCCCAGCCCGTGTCCCATCTCGGTTACAGCAGCCAGCCAGTTGCCCAGGCCAGATGTCAGATCCATCCTTCTTCTTTCTTTCTCATAATCACTCTCCACATCTCATCAACACCACCCTCAGGTATGTCCTGAATTTATCCTCTTCTCTCAGTGCCCCTGACCTTGGCCCTGCAGGGTCCATCTTCCCTGGCCCAGATTGATGGAGTAGTTTCCTAAGTGCACTCTCTGCCTTCAGTGTCTCCTCAATGCCATCCACCCATAGCTGACCTAATAATCTTGGAAAAATGCAAATCTGATCACTTCAGTCCTCCATCACAGCCCTTCAATGCCCCAACCTTTGGCCATCATCACCTTCAGAAAGACATCAGACTGCCCAGAGCAGTTTGTGCAGGCTTCCCACAGTTGGCCTTGTTTCCATCTGCCCCACTTCATGTTATACTTGACCAATACTGAATTGCTATCCAGGTGTGTATACTACTCGCTAGCCCATTCACATATCAATAACTCACACAGAGTTGTCTCTTGTCCCTTCCTGCCCTGCTTGTGAATATCTATTCACCCTTTGAAAGACCATCCAGGTGTCCACCAATGAGGGCCTATTAAGTAAATCACACCACATCCTCACAATGAAATACTACATAGCTGCTAAGAAGAATGTGGCAGTACTCAAAGAACTGACATAAAAACACATCCACAAAATACTGTCAAATGAGGAGTGCAAAGCAAGTTGCAGCGTAATAAGTACAGCACGAGTCACTTAAAAATTATATATGAGTATATATGTGTAGCAAAAATCTAAAATGCCATGTATCAAACTTTAACCATGCAAGGATGCTTTCACTTTCAATTT